ACTGGTACGGAAGCTAATGGAGGTTGAATTTATCACGGGCGTACCCATTCAGGATCTTTCGTGGCATAAACATTAATTTGGGGTAAATGCAGCATATGTGTATCGATTTTGAAAATTAATTTAGGATAAATATAATACGGGCGTACTATAAAAATTTGCCCTATTAATTTAATCATAGGGAGAAAAATCTTATAGGCTGATATTATGATGATAGCGCCTAGGATTGCTGTATAAACTATTTACCAAACAGAAAGAAAGTGACTCCATTACATGCTATATCACTCCTCCTTCCTTCGCTCTCTCCTCCCTCCAAGCCTCTCCGCCACACCACGCCGCGCCTTCTTCCGTCGGAGCTCCGGCGACAGCGCTGCGATGGCCCTCAAGTCCTTCATCGACGCCGGCCCCGGCTGCCACTTCCCGATCCAGAACCTGCCGTTCGGGGTCTTCCGGCCGGACGGCGGCTCGCCGGCGCGGCCGGGGGTCGCCATCAGGGACCGCGTCCTGGACCTCCCCGCCGTCGCCTCCGCCGGCCTCTTCGGCGGCCCGGTCCTCGCCGGGTCCGATTGCTTCCACCAGGTCGGGTGTTCTCGTGTGGCTCGTTCCGTGCTTCGTTTGCTGACCGCGACATCTGTGCGGACCGAAGTGTCGGTTTTGATGCTAGTTTCTTTGTGCCTTCAAGTGATTTTGCTATTTGCTTCTGACTGTTTAACAGGACTGTGAATCACTAGTTAGCATGCTCTGTTTCTGTTTAGAACTGATTTCTGTAGCTTTTCGACGTGCCGAAGAATCGGAAATGCTCTGTTTTCGGATGATTTCCTGTCATGAAGCCAATGCGAAGTTTATCCCTTCGCAATGATCGATAATTAGTTGGTGAACTGCGTGAAATTTTACGAAATCTTCGTTTCCTGAAGGTTTTAAGCGTATTATGTCGGTTCTCTTGTCTTGTTGCTTAATAAGAACTCTTGGAATGTCTTTATTTTTTGGTGAACTGCATTTGAAAGAAGGCAGTAGAAGTTGAACGACTGATATTCGCCTGATTTTGTTGCCAGCCGAACCTTAACAAGTTTTTGGCATTGGGGCGGCCTGCATGGAGGGAAGCTCGTGCCACGCTGCAAAAGATATTGTCATGTATGTCATCTCAATTTGGTGAAGTGCACCTTCTGCTGTGTTATCCCCATAAAGGCGTAAACATAAGGAACGAAGTTCTTTGATTTCCAGTAGTAATGTGCCTATGGTGCTTCAAGAAGGGGGGCTCATGGCACCCCTTGAGGCATATTGTTTGTTTCATACAAAATGATGAAATTTTTAAAATTTGACTCAGCCACTGAACCCGTACTGCGTGACAACGCCGAGTTGAGGAAAAAATCACTTTTTCCCATGGTGAGGCATGCTTTCAGCCAGAATTCATTTTCATATCAAGAGATTACATTCGCTAATGAAGCTTATGCTTTGAATTTTCAGGACAAGGTGGAGATGGTTCTTCCTATTGCCATTGGTGACTACGCGGACTTCTTTTCATCGATGCATCACGCAAAGAACTGTGGGACCATATTTCGGGGGCCAGAGAATCCAATTCCTCTGAATTGGTATGTTCATTCGATTTGGATTGGTTCTCTCTTTCAATTCCCAATTCAACCTCAGCAAAAGTAGTAAAACAATGCTTGTATTTGCCCGTTTTCAGGTTCCATCTTCCCATTGCTTATCATGGACGGGCATCATCTATTGTTATCTCCGGAACAAATATCATTCGGCCAAGGTACTTAATTGATGAATCATAGTTCTCTCTGCCTATTCACAGGAGAAAAGACAGAGCAAAGGTTTGGTGTATGTTGAATTCACACCTCTCGGCCGTAAAATGAACTATCCTTATTCGAGCGTAATTCCACTTGTGAGGTCTCTTCCCTAGATAATCGGGGCCTGCTGCTCCTGCACCTAGTGTCTTTTATGGAAGAATATGTTGGATTGTCGATGCGATTCCTCAGTTGCATAGTTGGAGCTCCCATTGTTTATGATTAGATTCACCGCATCTTAATATTTTCCCTCTCCGTCGCAGAGGTCAAGGTTACCCAAGTGGCAACTCTCCACCTTATTTTGGACCTTCCTTGAAGCTAGATTTCGAGCTAGAAATGGTAAGTTTCATGCTCCGAATATCAGTACTCTCTTTTCTCGTCAATATTTATATAAATTGAAGAATCAAATGTAATAGCTTATGACTTTCTTTTATCCATTAAACTGATTTACTGTGTACCCAAGTATATTAATACATAATTGCACCTCTTATCTTCTGTCTCTGCCATTTGTGATGGCAGGCTGCTGTTGTTGGTCCTGGAAATGAATTGGGGAAGCCTATTGATGTCAATGATGCTGCTGATCACATATTTGGACTTGTGTTAATGAATGATTGGAGTGGTGTGCGCAACTTCTTTATGTTTTTATGTATTTCCACTTATTGTATTTGTGTTTTACTTTGAAGAAGTTTGGTTTTGCAGCTAGAGACATTCAAGCTTGGGAATATGTGCCTCTTGGGCCTTTTCTCGGAAAAAGTTTCGGTAAATGTTCCAGTCTATTATTTTAAATGTTTACATGTCATTATATAAATAAAAGTAATGGCTAAGCTGCATTCTACAATTGCCAAAAATGTGCTAGTGTCAAAATTTGACTGTAAGCAATGAAGGTTATATTATATGTATGGAGAGGGCATCAAGTGCGGATATTATATTTAGTGTTTGGTTTCTGTTGAAAATATTTCTAGGTACCACATTGTCCCCTTGGATTGTGACCCTAGATGCTCTAGAAGCTTTTGCATGCGATGCACCCAAACAGGTAAATACATTCCTTATTGCTTCAGTAAGTTCTCCATTCTTGCATCAAATTTTTCTGTTCTCAGGCAGTGTGCTGCATTACATCCTGTGTGATTTTAGGAGCCAAAGCCATTACCGTATCTAGCAGAAAAAGTATCCAAGAATTACGACATATCTTTGGAGGTGATACCCTAACACCATTCCTATCTGCCAACTTGTATTAATTGTTTTACAGCTTCCAAACTGTCCAGTCCTAAATTTTATGCATTCCTGTGTACAATGGAAACTTTTACTACTGCTAACAGGTTCAGATCAAACCTGCTGGACAAAAAGATTCCTGTATCGTCACGAAGAGTAATTTCAAGAACTTGTAAGTCATCTCAAGTTTCAGCTGGTGAAAAATAATGCTCTGAGAACTTTCATACACTGTTTAATCGGATTATTAAGGTCTTAGCAGCTACCCCTAAGCATGTTATCATATCATTCCGTGAATATCAGCTGTGATGCTACTGGTTCGGTGAAAAGCGGTGTTATTATCTCAACATAATAAATCTTACGCTGTTATAATTGGATGAGGGACTGACAAACTGGACACTGTCAAAATATTTGATGCGCATGCCTTATTTCTTTCTATGCATGTTATATAGCCTGTTCCTCTTTCCTTTATTTCCTTTCACTTCTCTTCAGACACCATCTTTAAACTATATTTTCCCTTCTTCCCCAAGACAAATGGCTTGCCTTCTTATAGACTCTTAACTCTCCTGTATATTGATGGAGCACATGGACTTAATTGCTCAATTTTCAGCTGAATGAGTGAGTGTGGAATTTGTTGCTCAGATAAATGACACTAACGAGTCTAGTAAGCTAGGCATCCCTGATCCCAAACAATTATTCTACTTGTGGGCGGGTTTCGAAATTTAAACACCAAGACCCATTTCAGTTACCTCTCACCTACCAATATTATGATTATATAACATATTGTAACATGACAGAATTTCTACAGATTAGTACCTTATGAAGAAAATATCCCAAGGTTTTTGTGCAATTTGTGGTGCTATGTGTTTGTGTGAGCTCATCTATCTCGAATTATGTACCAGGTGCTTAGAAAATTGTAACAGTGAACTTTTCATGTTTATGATGGCAATTATAATGCTCTCTGTGAATTTATTCTGTATATTTTTTTATGCCACCATAATCCATGATTTCCTTATGTTGTGCAGATATTGGACGGTGACACAACAACTTGCACACCATACAATCAATGGCTGCAACTTAAGGCCAGGCGATCTCCTTGGGACAGGAACAATTAGTGGACCGGTATCGTTTTGTTTATCTATATCTATCTACAACTTCTGTTTAGCGTCAAACCTATTGCTTTTAGTTTTCTTCTGTCGAATTATACATGCCAGGAATTTATGTTAAATAATTCTATCTTCTGGATTACTAATTTGTATAGGAACCGGAATCTCTCGGATGCTTGCTGGAGTTGACTTGGAATGGACAGAAACCCCTGTCACTAAATGGGACACCGCGCAAATTTCTCGAAGATGGAGATGAAGTAACCATCACTGGCCTTTGCAAAGTAAGCTTTTCAGCTTCTTTTTTTCTTCGATTTCCAATTTCGAAGATCACGTTGGTTTTTTTTTTGGCTCAAAACTGCTTCTGAAATTTAAGATGACATGTTGGTAGTCTGCTGCCGGGTAGTCTGTGAACGTTCTAATTTCTGATCCCCGTGCAGGGAGATGGATACACCGTCGGATTTGGGACATGCTCTGGAAAGGTCGTTCCGGCACCTCAGTGAGTTCATCTGCGGCGTTCGAGGGCATTGTTCTTGTTAGTACTAGAGTGAGAGTCCCTTGAGGAGTCACTGAACTGTTCAGTTGCATCCTATTTGTGGAACTCCAATAATGTATGCTTTGGTTAATAAAAAGTGCTCTCTCTCTCTCTCTCTCTCTCTCCTTGGAAAATCATGCAGACTACTGAAGCTTGAGTTTCAATCAATTGGCTTGGGGGTTCTGGGACCTTTGTTGCCTTTACGTGCTAAATCCTAAAACAGTGAAGTCTCTAACAATAGGATTTGGTATGTATTAGACAAATTTGTGGGTAGAGAAAAAGTAGATGGGGCCACAGGAGCAGAATAGCATGGCCCACTAGCCCAAAAGGAGGACAAAAATAGTCCGTTGCCAACGGGACGGTGCTCTCTCAAATCTTCTTCCCATTTATGCGCCAAAAAGCATTCAAGAAAGCAACTTCTCCATCACTTTCCTCCCTCCTCTCTCTCTCACTCTAATTCTCCGTGTCTGCCATGAAATCAGCTCGCAAGCTTAGCTTCTCCTCCTCCTCGCCCACCGCCACTGTCACAGTCACCTCCCCAGATGACCAGTTCATCCCTCCTCCGCCACCCAACATCACACTCCACCTCCAGCCCAATCCGGCCCAATCCCTGGCCGCCACCAAGATCCAATCTGCCTACCGTGCCCACCTGATCCGCACCCTCTACAAGACCATCTCCTTCGTCGACTCCACCGCCGACCGCCTCCAGCGCCGGATCCAGCAACAGGACACCGTCGACACTCTCCGGGGCAGCCCCCTCGAGAGGGCGAGGATCGAGGAGGAGCTGATGAGGCTGCTGCTGAGGCTGGACTCCGTGCCCGGCGGGGTCGATCAGGCAGTGAGGGAGGGGAGGAGGAAGGTCAGCCGCCGGATCGTGGGGTTGCAGGAGATCGTTGACGGGGTGTGCTGCGGCGGAGGAGCGGTGGAGGGCGGCGACGACAATTGGTGGTGGTGGTGTGATCGGGTGGAGGAGGAGGTGTGTAGGGAGAGAGGAGGGGAGGAGTTGGAGAGGTACTGCGCCAACTACTTGGGGTTTCGTTGCCTGGAGAGATTGCTTCACGAACCTTGAGCTGCACCACTCTTGTTCTTCTTCTTAGAAAATTACTTTTTCTGTTTGCTTCCTTTCAATGGTTGTGGCAGTAGATCTATACAGTATACACTCGTGTTCTTATCCGTTCTTAAGTCTTATAGGTTTTTCTATTTCGTCTTCGAGTTTGTAAACTATTCAATCAATGAATTTACGATATTAGAACTATGGTGGCGAGGTGACTAGCATTTGTAATGGGTTGGATTCAGAAGGAAAGTGGATAGTGTAACCAGCATTTTTTTTATTTGCCAATAAGTATGCGGCCCGCTGCTAAATGGATTTGGGGGGTGGGGCTAGAGTACTAGGTTCGGGGTTTGATCTCCATGAGTACCACATACACATGTGCATAAAAAAGAAGAGAGAAAAAAAACCGACATTTTTTGAGAAACTTTAATTAGCCCGAAATCTAATGACTGATTTTTTTTGGGCCAAACTAATGACTGATTTACGTCCATTAGATTTTGAGAATTATGTGCTGGCCATTACATTATGAAGTTGCTACGTAGCTCGAGGGGCGTATTCAATTTGAGTCGAGTTTGTATAATGCCAAGCTTGAGCTAGGCTCGACTTGACTCGCATGCTTGGCGAGTGCCATCGAGTATTGAAACCTTTGAACTAGATAAATGGAATGCGTGCAACAAATAAAGAGAAGGCGTAAACCGGATGGCACAATTGAAAGATACAAAGCGAGACTAGTAGTGAAAAGCTATAATCAATAACACGGATTAGACTATGAAGAAACCTTTAGTTCAGTTGTGAAGGTCGGGACAGTAAGATTAGCATTAGCTATTGTAAACTGCTATGATTGGAAGTTTCATCAACTAGATGTCAGAAACACATTTTTATATTGGAGATGTACAAAAGTTTATATGGTGCAACCACTAGGACATCATGTATTAGATGATTCTAAAGGGTTTGAAAATGGAGAGAGGATATCCATTGATAAGGACACATGGGCATCTTGATTATCCAATGGTTGAGATTTGTCCTCTTATATTTTTCCTTATATCCTCTTTTCTCTTCTTCCTTTTATCTTTTCTTCTCCTTTTGGCCGAAGCAAACTACCATGTTAGAAGGTCCAAGCATGTTGATGCCAAGCTGTTGTCCTTCATCACCATTACGAGCCCTTGCCGTTTCGCCTCGAGCCACCTTCGTCGCCAGTGGGCTTGATGCTAAGAACCTCCCCAAGAGCCTACTCTCTCTCTCTCTCTCTCTCTCATTCTTTATGGACGCCAGGATTGGTTTTGCTACCTTCGATGTAGAGGTCCCAACCTCTGATATGATATTGCCCGAGGTGCGTGAGGGACATTCATGAATTAAGTCACTTGATGCATTGACCTTTTCGATTCATCCCATACTGCTGAGTCTTACGATTTTATTTTTTGATGTGTAGGTAGGAACTATCTTAGGAAGGCACTCATCTCAGTAATGCTCTCACCTAAGCATGTTTGATATTAGAGTTTTAATGCTAAATGATAGCGTTATGTCAAAAGGCACATTTTGTGAGTTAAGTCAGTACAACGTATATAATCTAAGAATGTATTTTCTCTTTTGGTATATAATTTGGTTCATTCTTGCCCTCTTCTCCCAACCTAGAATCATGTCAAGAGCCCCTCCTTATTGGACCCTATCACCTCAGTGACTACTCCTTATCCTCGTTCGATTTGATCATTTTAGGGACACTAATTTCTACATGGTTCATCTTAGACTCACATGCCTACTAGAGGGGGTTATGCTCTATACCATATTAATATCCCTAAATTAACCCACTCAAGGTATTATCCATTTTGGTCCGTCTCATACCATGCCTCACGATTTTGTCCTTTGACATACAAGTAGACGCTTTTCACGGAGGTCATCTATCATGATAGTGCTTTATATATATCCCAAGCACGCTTATATTGCAAATCTAATGCTAAATGATGCAGTTGCATCAAAAGGCAGATCTTGTAAGTTAATTGAAATTCCATATATATAATCCACAAATGCTTTCCCCTTTCGGTGTGCAATTCATCTATCCCTAGCCACCATCCTAGAAGCCTATGCATAGTTGCTCCTTGTTCAAGCCCTCTCGCCTTGGTGATCACGCATTGCTCTCTCGAGCCAGGTCACTACATGCCCACTAACTTTTGCCTGATTCATCCTTGAACCACATACCTATTGGAGGGAATTCCATTTTGGTACCGTATTTGGACACCCGGGATTGAGCTATTGTTCATTTGACCTATCCTATATAAAGCCTTACAGTTTTTTTTCTTTGGCACCTCCGTACGTGAGACTTCCGCATCATACGGCTCCGTCGGTGTCAAAAGATGCCTCTTGTGAATTTATTCTAGTTTCACATATAAAATCCATGAATGTTTCCCTTTTATACGTGGTCCCGTCACCGTCCTAAAAATTTGTTAGGAGTTTCACCTTATTCAATTCCTCACGCCCGGAGATTACTCCTTCCTCACGTCGTCGAACCGGGTCCTTACAGTTCTACCCACAGATCTGTGGCTGCGAGACCATCGTTGAGCCTATGCCGGAGGTCATGGTCTCCACCTTCTGTGGCTTGCGAACAACTTGGTGACAGGACCAACAAGTGACGCGATATATGGAGAGGGCAGGGACTGAGCGGCGCAGCTGGGGCGGTTTCGGTGACTGCTGGGCTTGTCTCTGCAGTTGTAACAACGACGAGAAATGATGACGGCGGCGGAGCGCGACAGAGTTGGCGGCGAGGGAGAGGAGAGAGAATCTGGGGGTGAAGGTTTTACTTGGTGGGCGTGTATTTTCAGAGAATGCGGGGGCCATTTTGGTATAGGAGTGCATTTTTGGGAGATGCGGTGTGGACTGATCTAAGCTCTCAATTGGGTCGCTCGGTGTAAGAGGGTTGAATTTAAGATGAAAATTTACTTTTAAATTTGGATTATCTTTTAATTGGAAAACGACGGCTTGAAAATTCATTGCTTGCGTGGACAATAATTAGCTAAGCCAAGCATTTATACCAAATGCACGTCAAGTCTACAATCAATACAATCACCTACTCGCTTTCATGATGGAGCTAAATCTCACAACGCTCCAAGTCTCCTTCACAAAGTCCACGACCGCCATGGCCTCTCTACGCGACTTGTCCTCCGCGTCGCACCACAATAGGGCCGGCAGGAACAGCCACAGCGCCGTTGCGAGGATGAAACCGACTGCCATTGGTCCTGACACCGCCCTCGGTAGACGGAGTTTGCTAGTGAGCGCCTTCTTGGCTCCGATCTCGACGGCCACGCACAGGCCATGCAAGAGGAAGAAGGAGGTGACCACCCACCTCGGCTCCTTACGTCCGATGTAGTAGAAAATCAGCTCATGCATGAGCGCCGAGACCAGGAAGCATGCAAATGATGCCGGCAGTGCGGCCCACTTCCTCCCAATCGCACGGCTCGAAATGGACCTGGTATGAGACAAGGAAGAGAACGATACATCAGATATTGAAATCTTCAGTACGTACTTATATAAGTTTAGACATTCGGTAAATTGCAAGTGAATACTTAAGTAAATGAGTATTCAGGCATTTAATGAGAATTACTATTTTGCGAGCCATTTTTTGTACGATGTCTTATTATGTAGTTGAAATTCTTTTTCATGTACTAAACTTCATTACATGTATGAAAATATAACATAGATATGACAGACATGAATCTGCTGTAGTGTAGAGAACTTTTGAAACTATGTGCTTTCCCCTCATGTTTGAGTCAAGCTTTATCAAGGATTATTCAAAATAAGTATAGACATAAACGTTTCATCAAAACCGGTCTATGAGCGTCAATCCATTCAATGTTCATAGATATAAACAATGAAAGCTAATTTATCCATATCAAAACGATCCAAAATTCAACATTCTTTTTGTATATTAAAAAAACCAAAGAAAAAAGAGTCTCACCTAATAGGCAAGTAAACGGCAGGGTGGAGTATATTCGTGACCATGAGGTTCCATCTCCTCCCCCAAAAGTCCTGCAGCGAGGTTGAGAGGTAGGGCTCTTCAAATTGCGGCTCGAGCTCGATGCCGGTAAGTACTCGGATCATGGCTCCGACCACGGCCAAGGACACCTCCAACCCGACGTACACGTGCACGCAATACATCACATTGATGATCACTGGATGAACTCGATCCTTCCTCTCATAGGCAGGCAAAAAGGCAACTATAACCAGGCACTTGATGATGTAATTCATCGGCGATTTGAGGCCTCTCTGGTTGATCTCCGAAGCCGGGCGCTCTCCATTTTTGGTGCTCTTGACCGGGTTGCGAATCTTGATGGGAAGGCAAGCGATGGGAATGAAGTATGCCAAAGAGCTAGACTGGCTCGATGACAACGGGCCTTTGCCGTAGGCAAAGAGGATGAGCTTGAAGTTGCAGAGCCAAGCGATGAAGAACGAAGTGAGGCCACCGAGAGAGATGGTGGTGAGGTTGAGAGGGAGGATGAGGAAAAGGACGATGACCGGCGAAATGGCCAAGAGCCTCTTGGTTCCGCTAGGCACGGTTTTGGAGATGGTGTGGCAGTAGGTGAGTGAAATCAACACCAAGGTCCATACCATCACGAAGTTTCTGATCTCGCCCTCCATGTTTGGTCACCGAGGGGCACGCACTTGAATTAGCGAAGTTCGCATAAATAGTTAGTGTCGTATGAGGTATTAGTGAAGTTGGGTCATGTTACTATGCTCTAGCTCTCTCTAGCTTGAGACAATGGTCATAAATTCGCATTAATAGGAGTTGTTGGGAGGGGCAGACGTGGGGCTTGTCTTGAAGACTTGGTGAACTAAATTTCGCGAGCAAATTCATCTGGACGTAGTGAGTCCAGCTATGCCTGTTTGCTAGTCAATGTCGGTCGTATTGGGGGAGAAAAAGATCGTGGAACTGCAAGATTGACCGTTTTGTTTTGGCTAATGTGGTGCTTGGTGGAAGGGAGTCGTCGGTTTTGAATAGTTGCCAATTTGAATAGTTGCCCATTTTCAACTCAGTCAATTGCATAATAATACTAAGGGTGCATTTCTTTTACGGAAAATACCATTTTTGGAAAATACTTTCCAAGTAGTCATTTTCCAGGAAAATGAATTTATTTTTCGGTGTTTGGCTAAAACCTAAAAAGACTTGGAAAGTATTTTCAGTTATTTGGTGATGAAAATCTGATGGTGAAAATTATAAAAAAAATTATATTTTTTAAATTATTTTAATTTTTTCCGATCGCCGGCCTTAGAAAGAAAAGAAAAACAAAAAAAAAAAGAAAGATAAGAAAGAAAAGATATTAACAAATTCAAGATGAGTAATTCCAAAATGTGTTTTCACCTTCTTAGATTAGGAAATTCACTTTTCTAATTTTATACATGAATGTTTTCCTTGACCGGAAAGTTATTTCAGTTGACTTACCATTTTCGGTGAAAAAGTCCGGAAAACGTATTTCCTAAAAACACGTTCCCTCAAACAAATGCACTCTAAGTATCATTATACTTGATAGTAAAAAATATGTTGTTGTGTCGTCACGTACGCATGCGATCGAACTTTAATTGGTTAATGAAAAGTCGCATGTGGTTTATAAGTATCAACCTCCTCTCAATAAGGAGCATTGACGAAATTGATTATGGGATGAAGAGGACTGGAGAAGCACTTTGCAATAAGAAAGTCCTCATTGTATTTGATGATGTTGATAATAGTGAACAAGTGGAGAAATTAGTTGGACATAGTACTTTCTATTCAGGATCTAGAATATTAATTACAACTAGAAATAAAGATGTTTTGCGAATTAATAGGCCAAAGTATCAAATTTTAGAGTATGAAATGGAGGCGATGAGAATTGATTATGCTCTTTAGCTTTTCAATAAGCGTGCATTTGATAGAGACTCTCGTTCATTTGATTATAGTGATCTTTCAATAGAAATCGTATCTACTTCTGGGAGATTTCCGTTGGCTCTTGAGGTAATTGGTTCGTTCCTCTATCACAAAACCCAAGAAATATGGAAAGAGACATTGGAGAAGTTAAGAAAAGCACCTCACGAGGATGTTTTTGGAAAGTTGAAGATCCGCTATGATGCCTTACCTTTCGAGCAACAACAAATTTTTCTTGATATTGCATGCTTTTTCGTTAGTGAGGATAAGACAAAAGCGATTTACTTGTGGAAAGATTGTGAGTTTTTCCTGGATACTGGAGTTGCTGCCCTCGTTAGCATGTGCTTGGTAAATATTGGGGAGAATAAAAAATTTTACATGCATGATCAAGTTAGAGATCTTGGAAGGGAAATTGTTTATCGAGAAAAACGAGCGAATCCTAGAGAGCAGAGTAGGATGTGGATTTGTGAGGAGATCCTTGATGCAATAAGAACAGAGGAGGTAAAGCACTATCCTCTACGCTGCGCTAGGATGCTCTTTTTTCATTCTTTTGTTTTTTATTTTAATCCTTTTCTACTGATATAAACTATTGTATACCACTCATATCTTGCCCTCATTTACAGATGAAGAAGAACGTTCAAGCACTTAATCTTGATCTACGCATAGATTACTTTGAGTACGTTATTAGAAGTGAAGAGATTAGAAGGTTTGAACATCTAAAGTATCTCAAATTAAATGGGGGAAACTTAATTGGTAACTTAGCACATCGTCCACATCATCTAAGACGGATTTTTTGGTATCATCCTCCTCAAACGTCTGAGCCAACCAATATGCACTTAAAGAATGTGGTCGTTCTTCAATTTTCACACAATGACTTCATAGATGATTCGAATCTACACTGCTTAATCAAGGTGCTTAATATGCTTATTTCTATTCTACTTTCTTTGAAAGTAATATTTGACTGTTCATCCATTGAATATTGCATTCATTTTGACAGATGACAAGAAAATTGAAAGTTCTTTTTCTTAAAAGCTGTCCTTGCATGACCAAAACACTAGACCTTTCTGGATGCCCAAATTTAGAGAGGCTTACTTTCAAAAAATGTATGAATTTGAGAGAAATTGACAGCTCTATTGGGAAGTTAAAGTGTCTGATTGACCTAAAGATTTATATGTGCTATTCTCTTGAAGATTTGCCCGAAGAAATTGGGGACTTAGTGAATCTGCAGCACTTCTTTGTATGGGAGTGTAAAGTGAAGAAACTCCCAGATTTCATATGGAAGTTGAAATCATTACGAGAGTTGCACTTTTCACGTGACTTTTATGAATTCGATTCAGCATATCCATGGGAGTTACCTAGTGCTATTGGAATGCTTCAGAATCCGGAGGTGTTTCGAGTCAATAGTCACCACTTAAAAGGTCTACTTGCTTTTGGAATTTGCCTTTTCTAAGAATCCTGAATCTATCATATACTTGTGTTAGTGAAGTTCCATAGACCATTAGCATGCTTCCTCGCCTGCAAAGATTGGAATTGATGGGATGTCATAAGATTCAAGAGTTGCAAGCGCTCCCAACAAGTTTAACCCATATGTTAGTGTCATCTACATCGTTAAGGGTAGTCCCAAATCTCTCGAACTTTATTAATTTGGTTGAGTCGTGTCTACGTAATGGTGATAAAAAAACGAGAATACACTGATTGCGACCGTCGTCAGTATTCGAGGTTATGCAGTTTGACTAGATCGCACAAGGCACTCGACCATGTCCTTGCTCCTACTGAGCTGGCTCCCCTTCCTCTGCTAAACAAACTATATTTCTTTGGATTCCGTCTGCAATCCTTTCGGCGATTTCCCACGTCTCTGCAAAAGCTATTCCTTGAAAATTCCAACGATTTTTTGTCTCTCTGAAAATGAGAAATTTGTCGGGTTTAGGGCTCCCGGAGTCTCCAACGTAAGATTTTCAATTCGATGGGATTCAATATAAGGGTGTTTGTTATGCAAAACTGTTTACCCCTCTAGAGATTCTGGCTGTCCAGCACGAGAAAGCTGGAAGATGTCCAGGTGACAGACTTTCCAAACCTTGTTGTGATCCAATTTTCTTGTGTGTTCGAATCATTGGAGGTATTTTTTATTGCATGGTGCACGTCCTTGGGAAGGCTAGTAATGTGGTTAAGCAGGGCACGATAATAATGAGTTGATTTGTTGTGAATGGAGACTAATCCTTCCATCGAGAGCTTTTAATAAGTGGCAAATTTTCACGCTGGTGCATTGCCATAAGATACTCAAGATTCAAGTTGTTGGAACGTCGGAATCGTGGGATTGCTTCTGGGATTGTTCTTCGCTGCAAAGTGTTCTTGGTTTACCAAACTTAAAGAACCTCAAAAGTGTTTATCCATCGAGTTCTGCTTTGAGCTACGGGTTGTCGATGGCCTCGTTGAATTGGAGTTGTTGGACCAGTTAATACTTGGTGGTTGCAGATCGTTGGAAAGGTAGATATTGATATATCAAGCACAAATTGTCAAATCATTACCACATGGATATCTCCAGTAGCAGGAAATTGCGTGGGGCTAAGAAAGGATTCAATGGCTCCGTCCAGTCTTTCCAGCATTATAAGGCGAGCCTGAACCATTCTCTCTTTTTCTTTTTGGTTTTCTTGAAGCAACTACAGACATGAATTCTACTTTTTGGCAGATTTGTCATAATTTGTGGGAAATCGAAAAACAATCAAACAAACGTTAATTAAATTTGGTCTTACTTATTTTAGAGCCACTCGACACAGGTATGTTTTATTTTGCCGCTCTTGTTTTCTCGTTTTCTTCTCTCTTTTCCGTTTTTCTTTCCTTTTTTGTATATGAGAAAGTTCCATATTTGCAGCAAGTATGTGGGACAAGGTCAGTTTTTTCCCAAATAAAAGGAGAAACTTCAATGTCTAAAAGAAATATATAGAATTGCTCAGTCTCTTATTCAAATGTTCTTTTCGTTTTATATGGAACGAATTGTTTCGTTCAGTGTATTTTTTTATGTCATACAACACTTGTTGTTCATTTCTTACTTAATACTATTCATTATGGAGATGAGTTTGGTGATTTGCAATTTCCACGGGAAAGATAGGACAATAAAAAAATAACAAATACTCATTGCACAACTCAAGAAAATTTTGCTATCGGAGGTGTTTCAAGAACACAACTTACATGGTCCACCTATCCCCTAATCATGTGACATATGTCCTTCATGGAATTGAGTGTTGCTTGAATTTGCATGGGGTTGGGGTCGACCGAGTAGGATGTGTATTCCAAAAGAACCTCAAATACCTATTTAAGATTTTACAGTTTGATTAAAAGCCCCTTCAAACAGGAACAAGAATTAAAGCAATGGAGAAGGTTGGGGAGAGTGTTGTTCAATGCGTGAGCTTCAACAGTTTTCTCCACTGCATCCTCCCCTGTTTTTTACCGTTTAAAAGCCCCTTGAAACAGGAACTAAAGCAGAGGAGAAGGCTTGGGGAGAGTGTCGTTCCAATGCCTGAGTTTCAATAGAATGTGATGTTGATTGCGAGTAAAGATGGCAAAAGCTGGCTGGTTTTTGACAGCAGAACCGGAGAGGCACCTCTCTGAAAGAAGTCAGAGGACGCTCACCATCAAATCAGAACGAAGCTGCCTGAAAGCAGAGTTAGAGAGTCCAGAAACACTTGAAAATGCAATTGAGGGCATGCTTGGCCATTTTAGTAATTAATGCCAATGGCTTCTAGCAAAGCAAACCCAGAAGATGTCACCGTTGGCCAGGA